GGCCACACGCGGGTCTGTTCGGCAGCGAGCCGTTTTGACAGCCCTAGTGGCTAATCAGCACACGGGGCCCACAGACTAACCTAAATCATCTTGATGGGGATATCCCAATACGTCAAAGCACGTCAGGGCTAAAGAGCAGAGGACAAATCGTTGTATCCCAAATGGGCGGCAGCTCATCGATGGGTATCGGGCCGTCAAGGTGATATCAACGAGGTCAAGGAGCGACAAGGCTCAAAAGGGCTCAACAAAAAGGAAGGTAGAGTGATCCGAAAAGGTAGAGGTAACTGGGTCGGGTACCACAGACCCTTCATACACAGCTACTAGAACCCTAAGTCTACCTGGTCGTGAATGTAGTCGACCCAACACAACCTGAGATCCCCGGTCAGCAATCCGTGAATTGCATCATCCACGAGAAACCTCGGTAGCCCTAAGGTCAAAGAAGGAAACTCTATCGTATGACTGTAAACTGGAGCTCAAAGAGGTGAGACTTATACCTGCCGAAATGGCAAGGATTTCCTCCGGAAAGAAGAGAAAGCGGAGGTTCAGTTACAAAGCTGTAAACACTCCAACAAAAGGACTTACACCCTGTTTGGGTCGGGGAGCATTCTAACACCCTAGACGCACTAGACAACCACCTACATGATGGTATACTGGGTCAGTCAGGTTGGAAAAATATGGGACTCCTCCTCGGGACATGCAAACATGAATGCAGTTATCTAGAATGATTATAAGTATTGTGGAAGCTCTATTAATATATGTAAGAAATTAAATGTTGCAATTTTTAAATCCTAAATATTTTAATCCTAAATTTTAATTATCTTGAAGATTTTATTTAGGATTTTGTAGAAAATTAAAATTTTAGGGTCCTTAATGAGCCTATGTTATATCGTAAAATCCCAGATAAAATACAGAAAGAAAAAAAGAAGAACACATGCAAGTGCAGATATGCAACATGATGCAAAAAAGCAAAGCAAATCAAACCAAAATAAAGAAAAGGGCGGCCGAACTCGGCATATACATGTCCGATCCTAATTCTATACATCAATATAAAATGCAGAATTTGCAGAATTAAGATACGATTAAGATACGAGGCACGAGCATCTGCTCATGGTCCCCTCCACGTGGTTCTCGTGCTAACGT